CCATGTTCATCCACCAACCTTCAGATAAGCTGTCTTCCTCTAAGGAAAAAATACACAGGGCAAATTTTAAAAAATGCATGGTGATTTTTTCTTTTATTAATTGGCCTGGTTGACTACATAACTCAGTGCTTTGTGCGTTTAGTTATCATGAATCAATAACCTTAAGTCCCATCAACTCCAGGCCACTGACAAGGTAAAACTTCTGAAATGGCATGGCTATGGACAGACCTGAAGCCAAGGTAATTCTGACAGGTAGTAAGTAGTCCATGAGGCTGCTGGGCAGCATTAGCCAGCCTTCACCTGCAGAAATCCCAACCTCATCATGCCTTCTTATAAACCTTTATCCTAGTCTTAGTGTAGTAAGTCCTAATACCCCAGTTTCTAATTCTACCAAATTTAGAGTCAGTTTACTTAACTAATGTCTCTGTTATATGAATCAGAGCTAGACTTGATTGTTGCTATTTGTTTAATGATAAAATAAAGCAATGACTGAAATCGAAAAAAAAATGGTGAATTTGACATGTGAATTATACCTCAATTTTAAAAGTATACACACTCTCAAAGTGATTTTTAAAAAACAAAATAGATAACAGTCACCAATGTATCCACAACTCTGTGAATAAAAACATTACAAATAAAGTTGAAGCCCCACCCTCGGCTTTCTCCCCGGCAGCCTTCATTTCCATCACCTAACAGGCTGTGTCACCCACCCCAGGCCCGCACACACCCCTATAGCTCACTCCTCAGATAAACAGAATAAACCTTCGCTAGGAGAACCAGTTCTTCTACTTCTTACCTGCAGTCATCAACGTTCACATGCCTGAACACCTCAGTTACCCTCCAATGGTTCATATTTCACCTCTACCTTCTCTCCACTTACTGAAATGCTATTCATCTTACAAGAATCAAATTAAGTTCTGACTCATTCATGAAGTGCACTCCAGCTTTCAAAAACTTTCTTTTCCTAACTCCATAGAACAGATGTTATAGAAACAGTCTGCTTCATAAGTCTGGTTTTCTAAGAGGGAAAAGTATACCAATCCTCACCCTCCATTTGGTAGCCATGTAGAAAACAGGGGCAAGATGAAGGGGGGACAAGATTTAAGGGAGCCAATTCAAGGAGGTGGCAAGGGAGATTAAAATAAAAATCTACGGTTGAATGAGAAGAGAAGATGATGAAGTACTTCTGAAAATCTATCCTAAAAAATTAATCTGAAGACAAGGTGATATACATAAGTGGTCTGCACATACAGATCTACAATTTAAATATCAGTTTGCCTCTTTCTGTAGATTTTACAATAAAAAATTGGAAACAGTCCATAGCAAATTACAGTGTATCCACTGAATGAATATAAAAGCATTTTTAAATGGGGGGATATGAACTTGTATGTAGAAAAACTAAAGGTTCCATAAAAAAAAAAAACTGTTAGAATAAATGAATTCAGCAAAGTAGCAGGATACTAGGTCCACACACAAAATCAGTTGCATTTCTATACACAAACAATGAACAACTTGAAAAGGATATTATAAAAACAATTCTATTTATGAAATAGCATCAAAAAGAATAAAGCACTTAGGAATTAACCAAGGAGGTAAAGACTTGTACAATGAAATCTACAAAACGTTGCTAAAAGAAATTAAAGACATAAGTAAATAGAGACAAATCCCATGTTCATGGATTGGAAAACTTAATAGTTAAAAAAGTCAATACTACCCAAAGTCACCTAAAGATTCAATACAATTCCTATCAAAATCCCAATGACTTTTATTTGCAGAAATAAAAAAAAATTCTAAAACTCATGTGGAATCCCAAGGGATCCTGAATAACCAAAACAATCTTGAGAAAGATCAAAACTGTAAGACTGATACTTCCTGATTTCAAAACTTATTAAAATTTATAGAAATCAGAAAGGTGTGGTACAGGCAAAGGTATGGTACTATATAGACCAATGGAATAGAACAGGGCACCCAGAAATAAGTCCTTGCATATAGATATGGTCAAATGATTTTTGGCAAGGTGCTAAGACAATTCAGTAGGAAAAGGGCAGCATTTTCAACAAATGGTGTTGGGAAAACTGAGTGTCTATATGCAAAAGAATAAAGTCAGACCCTTACCAAACACCATATACAAAAATTAACTCAAAATGGATCAAAGACCTCTATGTAAGTCTCAAAACAATAAAACTCTTAGAAGAAAAAAATTAGACAAAAGCTTCATGACATTGGATTGGGCAATGATTTCTTGGATGACAAAGGCACAGACAGAAAGAAAAAGAAGAAAAAGACAAATGAAACTTGACAAAATTTTGAATTTGTGCATCGAACAACACTATCCATAGCGTAAAATGGCAACCCACAGACTGAGAGAAAATATTTGCAAGTCATATATCTAGCAAGGGATTAACATCCAGTATATGGAGAGAACTCCTAAAACTCAACAACAAAAAACATTCAAAAATAAGCAAAGGATTTGAATAGATACTTCTCCAAAGGAGATATGCAAATAGCCAATAAGCTAATGAACAGATGACATCACTAATATTAGGGAAGTTCAAATCAAAACTACAATGACATAGCACCTCACACCCACTAGGAGGAATACTATTAAAAAGTAAGCAAAAACAGAAAAGAACAAGTGTTGGCCAGAATGTGAAGAAATTGGGATCCTTGTGCAGTGTTGGTAGGAATATAAAACGGTGCAGCTGCTATTTAACAGTGTGGTGATTCCTCAAAAAATTAAAGATTGAGTTACCATATGATTCAGCAATTCCACTTTTAGGTATATACCAGTTATCTATACACTCACATTCTTAATCAGCGTTAGTCACAATAGACAAAAGATGGAAACAACCCAAGTATTCATTGACAGATGAATGGATAAACCAAATGTCATACATACATACACTGATTATTTGGCCTTAAAAAGGATGGAAATCCTGACATATGTACAACATGGATGAACCTTGAGGACATTATGGTAAATAAGCCAGTCACAAAAAGACAAACACGGTTATGATTCTACTTATGCAAGGTACTTAGAGTAATCAAAATCATAGAGAAAGAAGGATGTTCCTGATGGCACAGGGGAATGCGGAGTTACTGTTGAATGAGTATGTAGTTTCAGTTTTACAAAATGAAAAGATTTATGGAGATGGATGGTGATGATGGTTGCACAGCAGTATGAATATACTTCATACCACTGAACTGTACACTTAAAATGGCTAAGATGATAACAACCAAAACCAATAACCTCCACACTGCCAAATCCAACAGGGCAACTTCATTAAACATCTCATAACGACTGACAGACCAACTCTCCATCTTCCATAAATGTATCTGTCTTGGCTTCCATGACGCCAGCCTCCTTTTTTCCCACCTCGCTGCCTGTTTCTTCTGCCCTGTGCTCCTTCTTCCTCCACTAGACTTCAAAATATTGGAATGCCTGAGACTCCATGTTCACTTCTTCAGCAACACTCTTTCCCTAAGCGATCTCATATAGCCCATCTGCTGAGTACTCTCTCCCGAGAGTTCTAAACAGGTACATCCAATTGCCTCCTGACATACCGATTTCATAACTAATACGCATCTCAAATTCAATACACCAGAAACAGAACTCGTCATTTCTCCCACCTCAAGTTTCTTTTCCATTCTCCTTCTCAGCAAATGCCACCATCTACTCTAGTTGCTCAAAATAAGTATCAAAAAGCAAAGAATTCTCCTTTTTCCTTACCAAATCCACTTGCAAGTCTTGGTCATTCTACCTCCAAAATGTTTTTAAATTTTTCTACTCTGGTCCACCTCTTCTGCCATGGACCTAGTCCAAAGTACTGCCCACAGTATTCTGATTTCTCAGCTTCCACTCTTGCCCTCTTCCTCCATAAAACAGTCGGATTTTGCTACCTGCCTTTTAAAACCTTCAAAGAATTCCCATAAAAACTAAATTCCTAATCAGGGTATCACCAGCTCCTATCTTTGAAAATATACACAACCCAAAATACACACTCAGTGATAATATCCCTAGGTAGTAAAACAGTAAAAACTAGGTACTTTTCTTCGTCTTGGTTACCTGTATTTAAAAATTTTTCTATGATGAATACTTGCTACTTGTTTATTAAGAAGGAGGATATTATATTGCTGAATGCTACATGATATTTCACCTTAATTCTACACGTTAAAGAGAAAAGGAAATGGAAAATTGTAGGTAAACTGCTATAAGCTTAGACGAAAATATTAGCAAACATGTATCAAAACTCTAAGAATGATGTGTCAGGGTTGTAGAATTATTGGTGGTATCTTCCTCTAGTTTGTTTTCTAACGTTATTACCTTCATTATAGGAAAAAAAAAAAAGGTTTACGATACAAACCTCATTGTCTTTCGCAAGCTGGCCACAGCCCACCAAACCAGCCTTTCTTCCAACTACTCACTTTCCCAAGCTTTCCACTCTGACCCCACACCGTCTCACACCTCCGGTGCTTTAACTGGGGTATAATCCCTGATATACCTCTACTCTTTTCATACCCTGCTCATCCTCCACCGGGAGGGGGACGGTAGGGATGGCGACAGGTTGGAGAGAGAAGTCCAGCATTCTTGTCGGTAAAAATCACAACTTGCTGGTGCCAGAGCCAAATCTCTCGCCTCCAATCCCTTCACACGCCACCAAACTTAACATCTTAAAAGCTCCGGCCACAGGGGCTCAAGGGCCCACCGTCCCCTCAGAAAGCGCTGTGTCCCTTAGAAAAGGGCCCCCATGTAAACCTCAATTCCAGGTTCCCGCTTCGAAGACTCCTCGGCAAACACACTCACCCCGGATGCAGCCTCCTCCTCCGATCCCCAGCTCTGCAGTCACCCGCTCCCCACCTCCCTCCGGGGGGTGGGGGACCGCGCGGCCGCGCGGTGGGGGAAGGGCGCGCACGTGCCCGCGCCGCCCCCGCCCAGACAATGCTCCAGAGAGCGGGTCGCGCGCCGGTCGGTCTCCCTCCGCTCCCGCCAACACTCTCACCCTTTCCCGGGTCTCCGGCTGAAGCACAGGTCCCGCCGGGAGCCGCGAGAGGGCACAGGGAAGGCAAGGGCGTGGGCGAAGACCCGTGGAGCCGCCCCGCCACGAGGCCCCAGCGACCCCGGAGCCCGCGGAAGCACACGGTTCGGCGGTGGCCCGCCCCTCCCGTTCAGCACCGCACGTCAGCAGCAGGGGCGGGGCCGGGCGCGCGCGGAGGCGGTGGCGGCAGCAGTAGCGGGGGCGCGCGCGGCTCGGGGGCGGGGCTCGCCGGGGTGTGGGCGGGGCCGGGGCCTACGCCGGGGCAGGCACTGGCCCAGGCTCCGCTCAGCTACCTGCAGAGGATGGGCGTCGGTTCCGGCAAAGCATCATCGCTTATCATTCTCCTTAGAAGAAGGGGGCGAGTTCCAGCGCCGCGTTTGATAGAATATGAAGCTTCCACAGCAATAACAACATTAGCTATGATTTTTGTGTGCGGGCCATCTTATACCAAGCTTGGTGCTGGGTGTTAGAGATACAAATAACAATAGTTATTACTAATCTATTTTACAGGTGCAGAAACTGAGGCTCGGAAAGGTTGAGACTTAACTAGGTCACTTAACTAGTGAGCGTCAATTCATCAAGTCCAGCTTTCCTCCTAAATACCCTTTCTTTCTCCCTGTACCACCCTACCCCAGACCCCATCATCTTTCTGCCCAAGACTGCTGTAGGGTTCCAGATGGTCTCCAGGGATCTGTTTTGTACCCCTTCAGTCTGTTCTCATTATGTAAAGATTTATCACTGGAGCTGGTGGTAGTTTTAAGTAGCTTTATAATTTTTTATGCTTTACAGATATGTCATCCTTTTTTAGATGTTTAAATGTCTAATAAAAATGTTTTAAACGATTGACTCCTTTACTTCCAATAGCAAGCCCAGTGCATTGCAGACATAAATTCTCAAAAAGTGCTTGTATGAATGAATAGTAGGCCCAGGAATTGACTCCAAAGTCCTCCATGATAGAGGGATTTATTATATGTACCCCCTGGCCTCCTGATCTTAAGATTTATTATGGGTAAAGACAGATTAGCAATATTTGTCCAGAAAATTTTTGTTGTATTTCTAGTCTGTATTTTGGCATTGTGTGACAAGCACTGCCTTAGGCACTGAGGACAAGAGATGAACAAGGTGGTTTCTGCCCATGTGAAATTCACAGTGAATCTAACCTGAAAGGCCAGGAAAGGCCTCTCTGAGCCTTAAGCTGAGATCCAAAGAGAAAATAGGAATTGGGGAGATAAAAATAAATTTCGAGGAGAAAGAGGTAGGATAATGAGTGTTTCAGTGTTCCCCTACATTTGGAGTCTAACCCTGAGGTAGGGGTATAGAAGAATCCAATTAAGTGGGGTTGTGGAGTGGAACTAGAGCCCCCTTTCTCTGGCCCAGCTTGGACGGCTGCCCATTTACAGCAGAAATCTCATACTGGGCAGCGCTCCCTCCCCACTGGGGAGAAATAAGAGTCTGAGATAATGCTGTTGGGTGTCCATAACTTGCAAGTAGTGTGCCCAAAACCAGACTTCTCTGTATGCTCCCTGTCAAGCAAGCAGGAAATACAGTTGAGGGTCATGCATGGGCCAGTGGGCACTGTGCAGGGAGCCAGGTGATCCTAAACCAGGTGCAGTGATGGACTAATTGGCAGGGAGTAGCTGGAAAATGTGGCTACAACTCCAAGGATGAGCAGAGCTGAAGAACCCAGTGAGAGCTGAAATGCCCCCAAGTCAGCTGGGGCAGCATTGGGGGCGGAGTTGAGGTGGGGAGGGGAGACACTGGGCTTTCAAGGTACTGAAGCAACACATCGTGAACCTGCCAGCCAACAACTTAAGCAGCTGACACAAGAGGGCTGTAGGACCAGGAGTGACTTGGGAGCAGAGACCAATGAACACCCAAGCTACAGCTAGCTCACAGCTCTGCACAAAGATCTGAGACCTCTCAGGCCATGTCCTCCAATCTTGCCTTTGATCCCACTGGACATCTTGGGAAAGTTCTGACAGGACTGTAACTTTGAACTGATTGGATGTTTACTCAAAATGAGACTAATATAACTTAAATTGGCAAATTTAAGTTTAGTCCAATCCCCAATAGAATGAGAGTCAATGAGAAAGTTTGCATCATTATAGAAAAATAACAGCTACAGAATTTTATGCATATGCATGCAATGTGTACATTTCAGTAACAGAGCTAAGCTCTATGAAGGAAGAGGGCAGGGTGCTAAGACAGCACAGCTCAAGGGGGTGAAATTTAATGTGGAGGTAAAGAAGTCCTCCTATTTAAGAAAAATATTAAATGAGTCCTGAAAACAGTAGGAGTTGTTGGGGCATGATAAAGCTTAAGACAATGTGAGAAGGAAGCCCAGGGTAACTTAAGCAAGAGCAGAATAGCTGGGGATGGGCCTGAGAATTAGGCTATGAATTAGACCTTTGCCTTAAGAACAGGAGGAAGTGATCAAAGGATTCTAAGCAGGGGAGTAATATATTCAATGTGTTCTTTCAGAAAGATCACTTCCCCTGGCAAATAGGTGTGAACATCTGGAGGGGTATATGAACAAAGAAGCAGCGAGGCAGTTGGAAATCAAATGGAAAATGGAAAATAAGGGTGACTTACACTGGACAGTGGAGATGGAGGCAAGTGGACAGATTCAAGAATAGTTGAGGAAATACTGAGAGACTTGGTAATGCACTGGCAGGAGAGCTCGGAGGAGAGGGAAGGGACTGGAGTATGCTACTTCAACTGCCTGTAGCAAGCAGCAGTCCCATGCCTTCTAGCATACACTGCCCTTCCCTGGGGCACACAGCTGGAGGTTGGATTCCAGGCCCCACCCTAGCCTCCTTGGTTCTCTCAGGCAGCTTTCACTGCACAGCCGCTGGAGGTGGGCCTGGAAGGAGATTAGAAAAGGAACCAAGGGTGACTCCCAGGTTTCTGGCATTGGCAAATGGTGGTGGGTGGTGCCATCTACTGAGAGGAGGGAGACTGAAGGAAGAATGGTGATGAGGGGTAGGCATATCACAAATTCCCTCTGGGATATTCTAAGTGTGAGGCATCCCCCTGAAAAGATGAAAGCATCTGTACATATGATTCGGGGATCAGAGAAAACAGGCAGGTGGCACTGTCAGCACACCATTGTCAACAAGTACTTGGTGCGAGCTGGCCAGACAGTACAGTTCCAGGAGGTTGCAGTCACCGCCTACAGTGTCACACTTTGATTTAAACAAGCCAACACTCCAAAATTGAGAAATTTCACATAGTATTCTGGATTTCTCTTTATATGAAAAAATCAGAAGCTGAGGTAATCTGGACTCACAATGCTGTAATTAGATATTAGCTAACACCACGTACCAGGCACTATTCCAATAGCCTCATAATCTAAGGCTACTCATAATCTAAGTAATAACTTTATCATTATTATTGTTCATGCTTTATGGAAGAGAAAACTGAAGCACTGAAAAGCTGGATAACTTGTCAGAGAGCCATGAAGTGGTGGAGCTGGGTTATAAACCCAGGCAGTCTGGCACCTGTCTCAGAGCTCAGCAGCCACACCATGCATGCAGCTGGAAGACCCCAGTCCGGGTTAGAGAACCCTATTGCCTGCAGGGTTCCCTCCTGTTCTTTTCTCCCCTCCCCCCAGCCTCTCCCCACCCCACCCCACCCCATCCCATCCCAGCCTGAGGATCAGTTGCCATTTGTTTTACTTGCTGTGCTGTTTTCTGGTATTAGAGAATTATTTCTCTGTACCAAGTGGCAAATAAAAAAATATTAAATTGAGACATCTAACATCTGTGGGTAAGAACCAAAAAATTATTTGTGAAATTTGTTTGTATGTTACCTGGTCAGATAAAACTGGTAAAAATTGGTTAATATTTAAATACATATGTATTACAAACTCTAAACTATGTTTCCATGCTTCTGACACAATCATGCCTCTGAAGTGATCATTCCCAAGTATATGAAATTAAAATGACACAGAGCCAAGGCAACTAAAATGTTAAATAACTGATTTTTTTCAAACAGTTTTATTTAGATAAGGTTGATTTACTTAGAAGAGATGGGGGAGACTGACAATATGCTTCAACTTAGTTTCAAGTTTTAGGAAAAAATATGGTTTAGTCAGTTTGGGGTCTTGTTTTACAGTTTCTTAACTGGGAAGGAGAGGATGGGAGTGGTGTAATTGCTCACAGTCTCTTGCTTAGAAGGAAGTGTGGGAAGAGGAAGGTGAGGGTGGATGTTAAATGTACAGAATGAATGAAAAGAAAAGCAATACAGTTGACCCTTGAACAACATGGGTTTGAGTTGCACTGGTCCACTTACAGGCAGATTTTGTTCAATAAACATACAGCACCTGTAAATAAATGAATTTTTTTCACATCTTTTCATTTTTGATGTCTAGTGTAATACATGTAACATCTACAGTGTTTTGATGTAGTTACTGATAGGTGATTTAACTTGTAAACAGATGATATAAACTTATGGTATTGATAGTACATTGCAGCAGCACACAAAATGTATTTTCTCTTTCTTATGATTTCCTAGGAACATTTTATTTTCTCTAGCTTACTTGATTGTAAGAATATAGCATATATTTGCAATAACATGGATGGACTTAGGCGGTATTATTGCTGAGTGAAATAAGCCAGGTGGAGAAAGACAAATGCCATAAGATTTCACTTATTTGTGGAATCTAAAAGCAAAACCAAACAAAATGAACAAAATAGCAGTAGACTCATACACACTGAGAAGTGACTGGTAGTTACTATGGGGGAGGGATTGGGTTGGGGTGGAGGTGGAAAATAGGTGAAGGGGATAAAGAGGCTGTGGATAAAGTGAAGGTTTCTGTGGTCAGAATTCTCACCTGGCCCTGGGTTTCAGCCCCCGGCAAGTTCCCTATGGATTCAATATGACCAAAGAAATTGACAGCAAAATGCTCTTTGGGTGAAAGGGTTATACCCAACTTTATTTCCAGGTGGCAGGTCAGTCACTGGAATCCCATTCACTCGGTGAGTCTGCATGCAGCAAGCTGGTCTCTGCCTCAGCCCCTCTGTCTGCACAGTCATCCCGCACAGCAGTCCTCTGCGCCTCTGTCCTCTGCTCTATTCTCCTGCAGCCTTGCAGCTCTGCCACTGGGTCGCGCACCCAGAGCACTGGGCAGAGCTCTTTATATAGTCAA